TGTACAGTCCAAAGACTGTAAAACGCTTCGACTCTGTATACCGTCTTCCTAGTTGGTGTTGCTTCTGTAGAATTTCGTAACGGTGCTATACTCCAATGATGTTTCCATTTACGATCATCAAAGGTATTCCATTATTATCTATGATGCCACGACTTACAATTCGTTAAAGTCCTAAGAATTAAAACTTATTAGTTTTATTTTTGAAATGATTGCGTTGTCATGTCAAGTGTACAGCTTTTCATTCGCTGCAGGGTTAATTAAGCTATTTTCAATTTTACCCCCCCCCTTCCCCTAGAAAAACTTTATCCATAAAGGAAATCAGATCTGTGTTAAGAACTTCTGTTAATTCGATCTATTGATTTGATCATCTTTTAATTTGTTTAGGTAAGAAGAAATTCGTTTGCATTCATAATGAATACTGTGTACAATCAAAAGGATTCTGAGTAGTCCATAGTCACTACAATAAATAGTAGAAATATTCAATAAAACTGTAATGGTGAATGCGACCAGTAATACATTTGGATCACTTTTTATTAAATACTATGACATGAATAGTGGTAAGCTCTTCGTTATATCAAGAATTAATTCCACTTTTAATGATAGACATGACACCTGATGTTAGTGACGTAGAACATCTGTTACCTGTTCCAGAACTGCAGATGCTTTTAGTTGTGTTTCTTTTTATTTGTTTGATTGCGATGATTTAAGGAGAAAGTACGTTTCTGAGCAGAAAATAATGTGACGGTTTTAGTGCCTTTGTGGCGAGCTTCGAGAATTACGGCCATTTACACGGACATTTTATGACTCGAAGAATTAAGGACTAAGCAAGAACCAGGTCGAAAAATTGCATTGTCAGTATTTGTAAGTCATCTAGATTGGTACTGATATAAAATGAAACTATCCGAAGTATTTTTTTTTTGTAAAGAATTAATTTTAAACAAACATACGCCTTGGATTTTTTTTCTTTTCGTTTTCTCTTATATATAAATGCAAAAATTATTTTTTCTTGTGCTGAGTGAACGAACAGCAAATTAATTGTTAATTTTTATTCTTGTATCATAATCCCATTCCTGTAATAATGATAATTAAGTTATGTATAATTTTATAAGCTTTGATTGCATTTTACTTTCACCTTCATGAAGCACTTCAGTTTCTCCTTTCATTTTTTTTCCACTGCCATTTTCGGAGGATAGACTCTCCGAATGTTAGAAAGAACCCCTACCCCCTTAAAAAAATGAACGGACTCTTCACATTGTTTACACTTATTTATCAAGTGCAATAAGCTGACCACGTGTCTCAGATATTACTGTGGTCACCTGTAGTAATGCCAACACTTGCTGGACTTTTTTACGAGTGTGTGATTAATTTGGAAAGCAATAGGTGTGTAAATGCAATAATTGAGCAAGAATGGTCAAACACAGATTCCTCTCTGATAATGGATGACCATCATTACATTTAATATACAGGATATAACTTACTCATTAACTACGCTCATTTGTTTATCCGCCATCACGCAGTGTCATGTGACGAGCTGTCAAACACCACGCGACCCTCTCATCCAACACACATACTAGTAGCTCACTCTCGTCCAAAACAACTCAATCTGAATATTAAATTCTTCTTCAAATATAAATTCAAGAAGTACATGTACCATATCTTTATATACCCTCTATTCCCCTCATAAATCTTGATCGATATATTATTTTGGTTAGGTTTTCGTTTTTTCCATTCCAACTTCTATCAGGTGCTTCAGTACTTTATTACTGAAAGGTATGCAACTTAACTGAAAAGAAAATATTGATTTTGGATTTTGTTTTTGTTTGATATTTTGAAGCTGTATTCCAATAAGTGCTATGAATAAACATGAGAAAAACAGCTAATTAAATCATAGAACACTTTCTTATCATAAACATGTTATTCATTTTATATATAGCAAAAAAATATATCCCAGTTGACAGTACCAGGGCAATGGAATTCTCAAGGAGACACCGGCTATTATCACTATATATCCTAGTGTCACTGCTTGCTAAGCAATAGTTACCTAGGAATATTTTTAAGAATGAGAACATATTTTTAGGTGTCATAAATAAGATTTTATATGGGGATTTTGACAGTGTTATATCAGAACTGTTAAAACCCAAACCTTGTAAGTAAGTACATTGACCCATCATAGACTTCTTGTTTGTTTGTTTTTGAAGTTTTTGGAAATATTGAGCCGTACACAGTCATTCACTTCCCGCGGAAAGCACTATTGTCTGTGTGGTCAACTATTTTTGATGGGTTAAGTGTCGATTTCTGCCATAAAAAACTCACATGAGGGCGTATTGGTAATACATCGGTATATATCGGTCGTGTAACCGCACCTGCCACATGGCATCTACAACTGCAAACTAAATACAGAGTAATTATTAATGCGGTGTATTTCTGCTGCACAAACGTATATTTAGATTCACGGGGTCAAATTATTATCTGTTGTTGACTCGAAGACATTTGAGAAGTACATATTAGGCATTTTAGCAATGTACGTAGATGCTTCTTTTTCTCTAACTAATACGATTTCAATTTATCTCAAACATTGCTTTTAAAATATAACTTTTTCTTGAATATTTAAAATCGCGAATGTATAAAACACACTGTATTTAATGTATTATGCTATGGAATGAAGACTTAACTAACTTGCTTGACTGTTTTCTACGAATATGTAACACCTTATATATATAAATTTGATAAAATGTGAAAAAGAGACCTATAAAAATAGAACAAAATTTAAGCTTTACGCTCAGCTAATTCCATGATATCTATTTACATGTATATAGTTTTGAGATCTCACACGTTTCACATATTATTTATATCCAAGTAGTACAATAATTTAGCATTCGTTGGAATTAATGAAATATGAATAGTTACGTTTCATTTCAGAAGTAATTTTTTAAACCGATTTTAGCTTTTTTCTCTTCTTCACGGTATAATATTAAAGAATGTCTTTGCATGAAATATGGAGATAACGAATAGTAATCAAGCTCAAACAGTCCATTGAAACAATACATATCGGGATGAGAGAAGACACGGAACTCTAAAAGCATCAGAGGTGGAATCAGGTGCCATGGAGGAGTAAGCACTGTCAACCAGTCACACTCGCCGTGTGCTCCTTGTCATGATCGGGCAAACAAAAAATTTAAATCCGTAGACAACTTAGTGTGTAAATAATGACTTAACAATTAGCATGAAAAACGTCAGTCAGCATTCGACTTAATGATAGATTGTATTTGCTGGTAAGGTCATTGTATTGACCACAGAACTTGAGAAATGTTGACTTCAAACGAGACTGTTGATATCTATTTTTTCATCAACTTGTTTGTCAGTAGCTTGCCTCGTTTCAAAAATTGTTCGTAAATGCTCTTGCATATCGAATCAACTGGGAGACATAAACTCCATATGCAAATGGTAAGAGTATATCGCTACATAATTAAGGGAAGTTGACAATAGAAAAGTTGAAGTCATCACGTTTATCATAAAGTTTTGTTGTAAGGTTACCATTACGTTATTATTAACGTCCTTTTCTAGTAAAATATCCAAATATGAAACAGATGTGTCAGACTCTGTGGTATCTTTATTTCAGGTTTACTGGGATATATCAATCGACATATATGAATGGACGTAACTATTGATAATTAATGATAAGTCTTCGATATATCTAAATGTGGAGCTGAAGGCAACAGCAAGTGTTTTCTTTCTCTCATGTAGATTGATTGATTGATTGTATGTTTTTTAACGTCCCATTCGAGAATTTTTCACTCATATAGAGACGTGACCATATACCGGTGAAGGGCTTCAAATTTTGACCTTTACTCGGCACTCAGGGCAATTGAGCAGTGAGGGATCTTTATCGTGCCAACGCCTGCCGTAACACGGGGCTTCGGTTTTTAAGGTCTCATCCGAAGAACCCGCAACTTTCACTTCAAAGTGCCGAGCGCATGGCGAAGGAACAGTTGCTACCCATTTTTTATCGACTTAGGTCAGTCGCGGCCGAGATACGAACCCAGGACCTCTCGATCACGGAGCGAGTTCTCATGCAGAAGATTTTGAATAAATTCCGCTTCTTATGAAATAGGTCTGCTAATAAAGGGGCGCAATTGGCACCTATCTGAATTCCGACAGATCGCAGAAAGACTTAATCTCCAAAAACTGCATAAAATTTGTCAATCAGAAACTCAAGGATATTTTTAATATCAACATGGATTTTAACAACAGTTTCGAAAAACTTTGACAGTTTTAGTTTTTGCCAGGATGTTAATTTACTCATTTTATCTTATAACAGTCAGGGAGAATTTAAAAAAAAAATCTTTGTGAAGGGAAGGAAATTCGAGTTTTTGCCGCACTTATGATATTTTGTCACACTGTGACAGAATACCATCTTATTCAATAAATAAATTACAGTTGACAATACAATAATTATATAATATATATTAAATAACTGTTCTATCTTTTTTATCTCTCAAAACCTAAAGTTCTTACATCCGATTTATAAAAAAAATTAAAGGGGTCAAGCTACATACTTCTCTATATCCTAATTTAATTGTCTTTAAAATATGAACACCCCTCCCCCCGTGTGCATTGTAGATGACTATCTATATCTGCATGCTTAAGCTAAAGGAAACCTTCCGGTATAATTTGCATAACTTGCATCTGTAACGTTTGACGCAGAACTTTACGTTTAATAGAAAAGAATAGACTTTTTATTTTGAATCGTCTTTCTAGATGCTTAACCGCATCCGCTTCATACATGTATGTGCTGAAATACAAAGCAAATCTGACAAAGTTGTCTCTATACATGTAACTGTAATATACATGAGCCACGTCTACATGTAAAATGTCACATAATTATCTGTTATAGATGGCGACTAACAACGATGACTTTTGAATATTTTTGATTTTAATGACTCGGGCGCTTTTGTACCATGACTCACGAAGATCAAAGGTAACATATAACCTCAATAACATTACTGTTCATTGTTTATGAATTCCTTTACAAGATCATTTGCATAAACACAAAAGTGGAACCCGGGGTCGTCATAAGCTGTTCTGTCCTGAAATGAGAATTTCAAAGTATAATTGCTTCATTTTCAATATCTATGTGCAGATATGATAGAAAAGATATACTTTGGATGCACTATATTGGGATAAAATATAATGTAAGATAAAATTTACATTTAATAAGGTTGGTCTTCAAAATTAAACTTTTCACTATTGCAAATAATGTGTATAAATGAATAAATTATAATAAAAAATAAATAAATGAATAAGCAAAATAAAAGGATAATGCATTTTGATCAAGTTTAAGTTAGTTTCAAATCTCAAGAAAAAAGTAAAAGTACACAATTCCCTATATTGGGAGAAAAATATTAATTTTCCACGTAATGATGCTTTGCAATACGGCAAAGGTGCAGATATACATGTAATTAGAAAACGTTATTCATCAAGAAAAGGATATAGTCTGAATACCTATCATACATTCCAGCATATCAAAGAGGATTTCTGGGTGAAATTTTACAGGATATTTATTCTCTTATCTAGCTTTTGAACCCGTGTATTGGGAATACGTCCCTCTCGATGAACAAAATATGGACGGGGGCTGCACTCAATTTCATACATCCAGCTGGCATCCTAATACAAAGTCTTACAAACAATTTAAAATCTGCAATACATCTTTTGTGTTATGAAAGAGGAACAGAGCTTAATATGTGATTGTGACAATACTTTTTTCTCATTATCACTGTTATCCAATTATAGCAATAAATAATTATTGATTTATATTATTGCATATTAGCAAGTTAATAATAACGACATATATCTGAGCTATTTTAAAATCTTTGAATCTTTGTTATTTAAGATGACAAAAAATAAAGAGTAACACCCACGATAGATTTCCTAGAACATAGAGCGATTACGCCAGAGACTGGTACATGTGAGCAAATGTCAAGCAAAGTATATATTTTAAGTGATAGCGTGATTACTTGAACGCGACGTACCTGGCAATGTCATCTATATTTTTGGAAAATGCTCCAATTTTTTGTGAAAGATTTTTGGTTTTAATTTGATAATAATGATAAATACAGTGCTGGTATAGTATTGTATTTATCATTGTTATCTAATAATAATAATAATAATAATAATACAGTGCCTATATAGTCTGTACGTCTTCAAACAAAAGCAAACTTGATTAAACAAAATTTTTCTGTAACCTTTAACTACTTTGATAGTTTTTCTGCAGTATTATGTTAGCCCTTACCCTTCAGTCCATTCATGAAAAGTAAGACTACATTGAATATGACAAAAACTAAAAAAAATAATATCACTTCTGATCATCAGTATTTGAGAAACTGACACGCAGATTAAAATTATTGTAAATACCAATATATACCATACTGGGAGTTCACGGGAATAAGTATTAATAATATGCGGTACATGTATTACTATCAGCAAATCATATACTGATCAAAATTTGCTTTGGTTTGCTTCTCATGATTAACAGCAGTGAAGGAGACACTTAGAGCTGTACGATACAGGAACATTTAAGAGGAGTGGCATTAATCAAATATGGATGCTAAATACTACAAAGAACTTTTAGTTTGAAATCAAAAAAAATATGCCAAAATCAAAAGCATCAGAATAACTTTCTTCTCAACGCTTTCTCAACCATTCCTCACCAGAAATTAAAACCATGCTTTTTGGCATCATAGAAATCCGCTTCTTCAATTAATATGAAACTCGAAAATATTCATTTTCTGCAAAATTAACTCTATATCTGAATTCTCAGGGGTACTGATTGTGCAAAATTAGCCAAATTGTTTTTTTTATGTTTACAAAAGAAAAATTTGTTATTTTAAAAAAAAAACCTTTTTTAATAAAGAAGTCTCTTCACATGACCTTCAGTTTGATATTTAGGTATATCGACTACGTTCTGGCAATTAACAATATTCATTTTTATTCAAACAATGACACGATATTTTCCAAAGAACTCGAAATAAAAGGCACCACAAAATCTAACACATCTGTTTCATATTTTATTTTGTTTGTTTGTACGTTGTTTAACGTCCCTCTCGAAAATTTTTCACTCATATGGAGAAGCCACCACTTGCCGGTGGAGAGCTATAAATTTTGTCCTATACTCGGCACTTAGGGCCATTGAGTAGTGAGGGATCTTTTTCGTGGCAGCACCTACTGCGACACGGGACCTCGGTTTATACGGTCTCATCCGAAGGACCGGTCTCCACGTCCCACAGTGCGATTCGAACCCGCAACGGAAGTATCAACCCCTTATTCCGCGACTCTAGAGCGAACGCTCTAACCACTGCACCACGCGGGCGACGTTTCATATTTCAATGTTTTACTAGAAATAGACATTGTTGGCAGGCCCGTAGAACGGGGGTGAGGGTTGGGTCAGGAGGGGTCAGACCCCCACTTTTACCGAGTACAGCATTTTTCTATAGTATTTTTTTCTTTATATGCTGGTTGCATCCCCCCCCCCCTCCACCACCTTTTGTTGCAGTAAGGTCGATCACTGTCAAATTCCAGGATTTGTAGACAATTCATTACGTTTTTTTGCTTGTTAGATTTTTTTGGGAAGTTGCCCCCCCCCCCCACTTTTGAAACCGTTGATACGGGCCTGTCGTTAGGTCGAATATTGATGTTGTGTTTAGTACAAACCATAAGACCACTTTTTCAATACTGATATGTCTACAGATTACCCTGTTTACCCGATCACGAAAAAAGAATCACAGCGGCTAACTCCACCGCGTCACCTGTTCCTACCTGTGATGTTTCCAGAGGGTCCGCGTTTGATCTGCTCCCGATTTGTAGTGTTAGACTTCTGATGATGATTAATGTTCGTTATCCTCACATTTCATGCATGTCTTACTGACTTACATTCATCTTTGACATTCTTTAAAAATGGGTACAATTACTTAACACCCCAGTAAATCTCTGAGTTTTTAACAAATGATTTCTTTCTAAGAGAAACTATCTCCTAGACCACGCTTGGTGCTATTTTATGTGCCTTTTTTTCTTAAGGTCACTCAACAAATATATGTGTATCTACATTCTGTTGAAAATATAAATTGCATTGATAATATCCTCACAGCTTCTTATACACAATAATAATCCTCAAAGAAAGCATTTAATGGAAATGATATAATGATAACTGAGTCGATGAATATAATCACTGACTAAAATTCCTTCCTGAATGTTTTTTTCAGTCTTCTCCACTTTTCACTGAATGAAAGGCATTTACTAGAGTACCATAAGTAGAGGCATTTACCAATGGGATTTTCCCCATCTCTGATATTTCCTGACCTTAATTTAATAGAAGCTAAATCTTGGTAGGGAAATATTTACTGATCTGTACATTGTGGATTTTAGAAAATCATGAAAAGATTTTTGGGGAAAAGAGTCTTATTGAACGTGAGCTGATACATGTAGTTCTGAAAAATATGTATGTTTGAGTATGTTTGGAAAACCCATTAAAAGTAAAATCCTATTTCATTCATTTATGAACTCTTATCTTCTTTTCCTGATATTGATAATTTAACTTAAAAAGTGTATTTTCATACCATCCTCAAATATATAGCATTTAATCACAGTTTACTTTAAAATTTCATAATAACTAATTTCAGGCCCGTTGCATTGTTTCAATAGTGGGGAGACAACCTTTAAAAAAATTAGACAAGCAAAATAAAAAAAAAAACATTCTTGAGTGTCCAGCTCATAGAATTTGCCAGTGTTCGACCTTTGAGCAACAAAACGTGGGGTGGGGTAGGGGGGACCAGCATTTAAATGAAAATTTACTTACCCAAGATACTGTAATCGAGAAAAGTGCCCCCCCCCCCTGCGTTATACGGGCCTGAATTCATGCACAGCTAGACTCCAGTCTTTGACCAAGTCAAAATTTTTGTCATTCATAAAATGAATATTTATTATCAACTGACACTTGAAAATTAAAATATTATCAGAAAGAAACAAAATTATATTTAATAACATTTCAAAATTTATGTTTTTCTTAAATACAACTCTAAGACAATGTTCAAATCCTGACTAAAAAGTCTAAAACTGCTTTATGGTCCTACGTAGCTGGGGCCATATTGTTTTGTCATGAAATTTGAGGTTACTTGAAAGTGAAAGTTAATGTTTCATTTTTTTTTTTTGCAAATGCAGAAAAGTGATAAAAATATCAAATACTAAATAAGTGCCCATTTCATTTAAACAATATACATGAATATTTGATTATTTGAATATTTGATTAATTAAGCACCTCAAAATAAGATCGTATTGATGAGATAGAATTGGATAAAAATATTAGATTTTGGATTTTCTGATAAATGTTATTGTAATTCAAATATAGATATTTGTTCCGATATCTGCCTGGGACCTATCAAACAATAATTCTGAATGTGATAAAATTTGTCGAATCAGGTAAAAAAAATTATAGATTATAATAAATTTTGGAATTCATTATAAAAATATCTTGAAATTATTTTAACGAATTTGATCTATTAGTACGAATTTAATCTGTTATAAGAAATTTGTACAATTCTTTTTAACAGATTCTAAAATTCGATATAATCGAGTTAATTTGAATAAACAAAATGAAAAATTCATATTTTCAAATACTAAATTATTTTTTCATCGTATTTCTTTTTTAGGATAACAGACTGCAGATTATGTGAGATCAAATTTAAATAATTTATGATTTTAATCTTAGAAATTCATTTTAACTGTGTAATTAAATTTTGTAACAATGTGCCGAGTGAGACGGCCATTTGCATAAAGACATCGTCAATGTTATCAATATTTTTGGTTTTTATATCAAATTGGAAATATCAATAACATTTTTTTTCATAATTTGCTGTAAAAATACTGTATGAATTCGTTTTCACGATTAGTCTCCGTTATAACGAATCTAATTAGATTTCATGTACAATATTGAAAGTTTTTAAAATTGTTTAATTTGTTCTCTCCAAATACAATCTGTTAAGGTCAGACGATACGTTCCTCAAATATCTGTTTTGCATATCTTCGTACTATATGGAAA